TTATAATAATTTATATCTATAATTCATACAATCGTACTAAATAAACAAAATAGAATAGTCTAATAAAATAAAAAAATAGAATAACCTTACGAAAGTCATAGTCTATAGATTGTTTATTACAGCCACTCCTCTATTTTGTCTACGACAGCTTTTGTTATCTATGACAAAAATGGGGTACTATTAATCTATGAGGTAACAACAACAACAACACCCCCACCCACCCCCGTAAAAAAAAATCAGGACCGCTTGTCAATAATACCCATTTCCCAGTCCGGCTGTACACCGATCATGTGTATATAATTGACAGACGAAGCAAAATAGCTTTCCGGACCAAAAACAACGCCGCGTGTAAAATTTATTGTTTACATGAAATTTGAGGACGCGCTGCACGACTACCTTTAATTATCGTTTAGCCAAAATTGTCGACAAATGACAGTAATATTCTACAAAAGCTATACAATTGTCTGTGACTCAGTCTGAAACTAAAGGACTGCAGTGAATGGTTGAAAAGCTCAAAAAGTCACTATAACCTAGTCTCAATTAACACAGTGCCACATTCAAATGCTACAAATCTCTCTATTCCCCTTCTCACAAATATAACAAAATTTTATTTATTTGAAGCGGTTGACAATTTAAGCCAGGCAGCTTTTTTGTTTGTTTACATGATGATATAATGTTTTCAGCACACAGATCCTGACTATTCCTGTGCATATGTAATTATTCACACCGATGCTAATGACTCTTTAGCAGGGCACGGATTGACTTTCACCATAGGACGAGGCACTGAAATTGGTAATGAAATAAATTATTTTATTACATATGTGTTACTAATAGAGTAAATATGGTAATCTGTATAAATGTTAATGTATCCTACATAACACTGCTTACCATATTGTACGCCCCAATAGTTTATTAATTGTATACATATTCTGTACAAAAAGTATACTTTTTTGAAATTGCGTACATTATCTGTATACAAAATTCGTACATACAAGAAAACAGCAGTACATTATTTGTATACACACTTTATACAAATTCCTTAATGTATATTTGTTGTATACTAGAAATGTACAGATTTTTTGCATAGGATTCAATGCCTAAATATTGTATAATTTACATATACATAAAATGTACAATATCATGACTAAGAAATAAAGAGTAACCACAAAAATTTATGTTAGAATCATGTCAGAATGAAGTATAATTTATGTATACATTAATTGTACAAATTATTGACTTGGATCTTGACAAATATTAGTACTATTTATGTATACATAGAATGTACAAAAATTGGACTTAGAATCTGAATAAACTTAACTACGCTCAATAATACAATATATGTATACATAAACTGTACGAAAATATGGAATTTAATATTCAATTAAATTCATAAGAGAGTATAAAAACATTTTTAATAGATTAATTACAGGAATACTAAACTATATTTTTGGATATCAGTAAAATTATATTTTGTACACAAAAAGTACACAAAGGTAAGTACACAAAGGTAAGGGTGAGATTGGTGACTGTACAATATAGTGCCATGACTTACATCAGAGGAAGCCCTCCGTAACCATGGTATATTGTGGTGGAATAGGCATACTAGAAATAGAATATAATTTTTAACGAGCATGAAGACAGTGTACGATTTGATTCATGTACAATTTGCACATGATTCATGTGCAATTGATACTCCCATTGAAATAATTCACGCAAATGTTGTTATATAGGAATTTCAGCCACTATAACAATATTTTTGTGTGGAAAAAATAGGGATCAATTCAGTATTTTCTGTGGAAATCAAGGTTATAAATACTTTCATAGTGCGCATGTTCCTTGACGCGTCTGCAAATGCACGAAAAAAGGTCAAAGAGCAATATAAATAAAAACATCGCCAACGTCTTTGTTTCAAAGATTTGATTTGGTTATTTTAGCTCTGAGTGGTGATAATTAGAGAGTATATATTTTTTACATATTATTCATGTTTTTTTAAACATATTTATGCGTTTCTCGTGTTTCTATAGCTATTCACAGAGACTAGCTGTGAGCTATTTTATACTTGTTTGAGCGTACTTGACTTCCAATGTGCGCGAGACTTTTAGACCATTTTATAACCTTGATTTTCTTCAAAAGAAATAGGTTGATCCCTGTTTTTCCTACACAAAAAAAGGCTATATATAAACACTTGTGTATATTATAGGTATTCCAATCGTACGTGAATCAAACCTTACGCTGTCTGTCTTTTTAGATTGTATGGCCATAAAACTGATTATATACCCATATTATACGTTCGGCCTTTGTTTTCACCGTGATGGTTGCTAGGCATTGAAAATGCCCGGATGTCCACCCATAAGAATACACTCATGATACACTGTCACTTAATTTAATTTTGGCTATTGCTCAGATTGACACAGCCGGTGGCTGGTGATATCAGTAAGAAAAAAGAATAAGATGTATGTTATATACTGTAGAATACTTTATTTTAGCTGGAATTAATTTTCGCTGAAAACCCTTTTTGAATGTTTTGTATGGAATTTATTTTCACTGATTTTTGACGAGTTGAATGTAAAATATAGGAAAAAAGGTACATTTGTTATATTCGCCTCTTCTTTATTTTCACTGTCTCATTCCTCCAGCGAAAATAGCGAAAATTAGTTGCAAAGGTAAATAAAGTATTTTACAGTAGATTACTTTTCAAAAAATTGACATTTGACATTTTCAAAATATATACCTGTTCAATACAGTTGTTCTTGCCTGTAAAACACTATCCCGATTGGTTATTGGTCAGAAGTTGTCAGATGTTTACAGTGATTTTGGTAGATATTGGAGAAAATTAACAAGTGAATCACAGCTTCGTTGGGTGAGTGCATGATGAGCAAAATTATTGAAGGTATAATATTTAAATGCTTATTTAAATTTTCACCACCAGACTTTCTCGCACAACTTTTTCTGCCATTTTTTTCTACTATTCTTCAATATTTCTAGAAATGAACCCTAATTTTGTAGCAAACAGTCAAAATTTGAGTCAATTTTCAGTTTTTTATGAAAAACAAATTGGCTATTTTTGTCGCAATCTTCTGAAGGAAATTGCAAACTATAAACAGGTCTCGTTTGTGAATTTATAATGAAAAGAGGGAACTGGTGGTGAAAAGGTTAATGTATAATATATACATTCTTTAAAAGCACCACCCTATCATTGCTATGTGTTGTGTCACTGTCGTTGCAAGACCTTGCATTCAAAATAGAACTTTTGTACATCGAACCCATGTGAAAGTTGCACTATGAAAGTATTCATTGAGCATTAAGTTTCTTATGTGAATAATTTGAAATTGTGGGAAAAACAACAAGAATTCATCAGGATTCTTCCTTGTTTCAAATTCTGCTTCTCTCAGTTAATCAGAACAGATGCAATTTTTGTTGAATCTACACACATTGAAACACCATTCAAAAACATAAGAAAAGGAAAATTCGAACACACTATCAAATAAGAATCAGAAACGAATGACATCATGTGAACCTTTACCTATTTCTCACAAGTTGCATGCATTCAGACTTTCAAATATTTCAGATAATAGTTGCAAGACCTCAATAAAGCTACTTTAAGGGGTATTTGTTCCCACAAATATGAACACATCACATTTCGGGCTAGCAACAGTACAATTGCATGAACCATTTATAAGTTAAGTGATCATACACATTTTGCATTATTATTCTCTCAGAGAAGTTTCTTGAATGCCCATAAACTATGAAACTGAGAAAATAATAACCGCAAATGTGCATAATATTATGGGGTTATTACGAGGATACCTCAAAGTATGCACGAAAACAGTACAGCGGGAGTATCAACCAACGCGTAGAGGAGGTCGATGCGACGTCGTACTGTCTGAGTGTATACTTTGAGGTATCCTCGTAATAAACTCTTTTCTTCCAAGAATACATCATGGGAATGCCAAAATCCAAAAAGTTTAGAACAGAATCAGCGAACTTCCTTGTGTGGAGTCCAGTCAAACCTTGGCAGCCATGTTTGTTTTGTTTTTTTATTAGAGGATGCTTACTGTATGTAAACATTCCATATTTGGAATTCGCATTTCCTTATATGGTAAGATGAAAATACCCCGTAAAATACCACAAAATTACATAATGCTGTAACTTATGGCGTTACAGTGACAGATGTATAATAAAAGCTGTTATATCCCGAAATGTTCCAAATCACTTACTGCGAACATACCAAGAACATATTTCTGTTTTTAAAAAATTGTGAAATGTATAACAATATTTTCTGCAAATCTTTTTTAACACATTTTCATGTTAATTGTTTAGAGTGGAAAATTGTGGGTTGTAGTGCATAGGAAATTGTGTAGATGTGTCATACGGCACTGATTTATTCATTAATATTACAAATATATTTATGACATTTAAAATTATAACGATCATTTTTATTTCACTTTTGTGTAGCTAGGTCCAGAGAAAGGGGTCATGCATCTGGCTACAGCTGCCGTTCTTAATGCATTGTGGGATCTGTATGCAAAACTAGAAAATAAGGTAAATTTGTGATTCTTGATCTGTTAGATATATGCAATATGCATTGTCGGCTGGGGGGGTGGGGGCAGTTGATACATAGCTATGTAGGGAGGTGCTCCTGTGTGCTCAAAAGAGTGACCATTTTTATATCTGGATAGTGGCAAAATCTATACCCATATTTATACCAAAGTACCATTTCTGTCATCACTGTTTATTCCAAATAAGTTTCACTGAGGAATGTACGCCCTCTTCTATTCCGTGTTAAATCTCCGTTTCAATGTTGATTGCCTTGTTTAATTTCCGGGTTGATGTATATATGGATATGAGGCCAGGATCTGAGGTGGAGATATTCGTTCATATACAGACCCATAAGTATACCAAATTGGAAAAATATTACCGATATTTATACCTATCTTGACCAGAAATAAGACTGATACTTATACCTAAAATCCAAAAAACAAGACCCATTTCAGGGGCACATCCCCATTACGTAAGTTCTATGTATTGTTGCTATGGTGCAGATATTATGTCGTATTTCTAATTGTTGTCTGGTGACAGGATGAAACAATTAAATATCACTAATTGGTTTGTTTATTTTGTCTGAATTATTTCAGAATGAATGAATGAATGAATGAATGAATGAATGAATGAATGAATGAATGAATGAATGAATGAATGAATGAATGAATGAATGAATGAATGAATGAATGATGTTGTGCATGCTAGGATGCTGTGCATAACTAAAATATTTTATTTTTTATTTCCAGCCCCTGTGGAAGCTGTTAGTGGATATGGTTAGTGAATGTAAATTATTTTGTCAAATATTTTTTGTAATGTATTTTTCTATAATTTCTATGTTAATTTAAGATAAAATTGATGAAAATTCTCATTATTTATAGATTTTATTTATAATGTGCTCACGGTAATTTTTAATTTAAGGTCATATAAGTCATGAATTCTTTTCAAATAGTCAAATGGTGGTGATCTTTTTACACACAATGTATATGTCACATGACACACTTCAAACTTCAGAATCATTCCTCTACATATTTACTTATACAGAGCCCTCAGGAGTTGGTATCCTGTATTGATTTTCGATACATGTAAGTCAGTCTCTCCTATTGTTTATCTTGCCTCACACCACTTCATGTTGTTTTTACTCACCATTACTATAAATTGCGCCCTCTACTGGTGAAGCACTTATGTGATGTCATAATGACAAATACAGGTGGAGGCAATGTCTTTCAATTCGACAACTAAGTTTGGTTGTGTAGTTGTCCATTGTCTAGAATATATATAGGAAATGTCTCAAAAACATAGTCTTTATTGATGGATAACTATGAGACAAATTGTTATTGATGCTTTTAAATCATGAACCTTCGCATCATCTATTTACATCATAGAACTGATTTGTCACTTTGATTTTTTGGAAAGGTGTTTTGTTATAGATCCATCTGATTATGGTCACTGAACACGTAACTAGTTTTTAAAATTGTCGACATTTGGGTGAATAGAGTGTGAGTGAAGTTTATAAAATGGTTCTAATTAAGTTTCTAAAACCCAAGTATAAGGTAACAGATCATTTTCCGTTCACTGCGAGATCATGTGTTATGTGTGAAAACGAATGTAAAACAAACAAAGGTCATTGCGTCATGGTGGCAACAAACATCGCATGGGATTTCACAAACGTGAAAGTATTTTGGGGGATATTTCCATGCTTAATAATGTGCTGTATGCATTTGATGATGGTCAATTCCAATGAAGTAAAATGTAAGGGTATTTAAACGCAATATTTCTCTGTCAAAGATTGGCCTTTCGATGTGAGCTATGAACTAAAGAAATTTGAGTTCAAAATCAAATCATTTGTTCAGTGCGCGTCTTTCACGCAACTTGCGAGATCCCGTAGTTGAATGGAAAATAACCTATTTAAAAACCATCAACATAGATAAATGTTCGTTTTCATTTGGCAAGTGGATTAGTATACAAATTCTGAATGAACATTTTCTGCACTCCTGACTAGTCCACAGATTCTACGATCTAAAAAAAAAGTAATCTGACTTGTTTCTATGGAAGCAAGACTCCATGCACCAAAATGGCAGCCATTTTGTAAAAATGTTGTAGAGGCTTTTGTTTGTAATAATGTCAGCTTTTGTTTCAGATTTTGTCAGAATTTTAGAATAAACAAAAATAAAATCAATTTTCCCGAAAAAATAAAAATGAAACTATGATTTTTATAACAATTTTAAAATTCAAGTGAAAAAAATGGGAAATAAATTAATTGACCATTTGAATGTATGTATATTGATTGCAGAACAGATGCCCTAACTAAAGAAGATGCTCTTCAAATGCTGCAAGAAAATCTATCTACAAAACAAACAAGAGGTTTGAGTTTCTAAAATAAATTAAAATCACTTAGACTATGTTTTATTAATCAGTTAAACAGTTTAAAAAAAACATACATATAAACATAATTACTGTAAAGGGGTTAATTATCAATGAGTTTTAATTTTGCTTATTTCACTGACTGGAAAATATGCTAAATTAAAACCCAGTGAATGTGTAAAATTTAACATAGAACACATTATCTAAATGATAAAACCGTGAATTTAAAACGCATATATATGCCTGAAATGGTAAATCAGCAAATTTAAACCCAGTGAAAATTAGTCATTTTACAGTATTTATTATTTATAAAATAATACAAACATTCTTTAGCATTTCTTCATCTAAAGTTTACTTGAATCTGATAATCTACAGATAATATGTTATTCATTGCGACTTTTTTATGTAATATATTTAGTTGTAAGTTTTCTCTCATAAACAAATGGATCTATAACTTGGAATAGAGAAATGTATATTTTTAATATTAATTTTAATTTTTCATCAACAATAGAATGTGAATTGCTAAATACTGGTTATCCTGCGTATACAACATCAGTTGCCTGGTTAGGTTACAGTGATGAGACACTTAGTAAGGTAGGATCGCATCAGATATCAGTACCCAAGGTCAAAGGTCAAATCCTTTCTGGTGTTGTACACCAAAAATGGCTGCCACAGGCAAGACTAATTTTTACCCACTGGCTGAAATTCATTCACTAACGGATGCAAATTTTAGGGACCCTTAGGTTAAGGTCTGGAGGTGCTTGCCTTGAACTGGCCTGATTGATGCCATTTTAGTGCAAAATATTGCAATGTGGAGGGTTAAATAGTACTTTTCTCGGTTTCGGAAAAGTTCTGTTCATAATTATTATCAGAAGGGATAGCCTATTATTTACATGGTATTACAATATTCTCAAAACTATGAGTAGTATGTGCCATCATGATATAAGCCCAGCTCAATTAAATATAAAAAAAAAGAGAAAAATGCTGTTAATTACTACATTTGTAGTTTGGATATTTAGCGTAGTAAAAAATCCCCACTTCCATTCCATTCCCAGATTAACACCAGTTGTTAATGACACATACAACATTAAATTCTCAACTTCGATGAAAAGACCGCGAAAGCCAATCATCGCGAAAGCCACTCATCGCGAAGCTACTAGTATAAATAATGTAAATTATCTGATTATGAGGAACTTAATGCTTTTTTCACCAATGTTTGACTCATGATCAGATAAATCAAGTTTTAAATATATTGTTTTAAAATTTGTTTTTCAAATTTGTAAATACTAATTAAAGCAACACTTGTATGCATTTATTTTCCTATCTGGTCATAGTTGTGTGAGAAGGCCCTCAAAGAAGGCTGGTCAAAGTTCAAGGTTAAGGTCGGAGCTGATCTAGCAGATGATAAAAGAAGATGTGCTCTTATTAGGAAACATATCGGCTGGGAAAGAAAAATGGTAGGTGAAAAATAACGCACCTAATAAATACAGAAGGATAAAGTGTCACAGATGTTGCACAGTGTACATTCAAATTTTGTGTAAACAAAAAGTTTTTTTTTACATGCATCATTATGTTGCATGGGACTCATATCAGTGCAGTGCAATGATTGGGGCTTTAAGATAGGGATAACAACATTTGTCATTTTGTTACCTTATTTAAAATCTTAATTTATCATATCTTTTTCGAAAGCATGGATGCACACTAGAACATACTAGGTAGGGATTTGTTGTCATATGACAAAAAGTTTCAGAACATTGATTGTCAAAATGACTTAATTGCACAAGGATGCTGCAGTATTTACTGAATACAATTATACATGTATATGGATATGTGGAAGCCAAGTTTTAAAGAATTACAGGGAAATGTTTCCTGGTCAATTCAATCCTCGAGGTAGAGCTACATTACAAGACGTTCCACGTTGCTAAAACGTGCACCACTGTACCATGCATTTCTATGGGCTCTGCGCGAGCTGGTGTGGAATGCTGGTCGAGGAGCCGGTGAAAATAGCTAAATTCAAGAAAACAACACAAACTCAACTTTGAAGTAACCCTGAGCAACCAAATTTATATATGTTGCACACGCAGGGCAAATCTTGTTACACTTTTCAGAGAAGTATCAACAACCATCCCAAAGTACAGTTTTCTGAGAGTTTTCGGCCTTTGTTTTATCACCGCAATGGTTGCCAGGCGGTGAAAATGCCCGGATGTCCGCCCCTGAGAATACTAGTTAATTAATATATTTGGTGGACTTTTATTCTATGAGAAAGTTTTGTTTTTTTCCAATCCCAGATGCATTTCTCCCTTTAATTATCTCATATGAGTGTATCAACTTTTGACTTTTATAGTTTTGGTGGATGATTAAATAATACACTTATAGATTTAAAAGTTTGGAGAAAAGTCTTGTTGTGTTAAAAAAAAAATAAGGAAAAATATGTATCTCCTTATGGAAATCATATCTTTTTGATAGCTTTTGTTTTTAAATAGTGCCCTCACTAGTCAATACAAGAATTTCTATTGTTTTCGTTAGATGATGGATGCCAATCAGAGATGGGATGTAAACGAGGCAATAGATTACATGAAAGAATTGGCAGAGTATAAACCATGGTGGATAGAGGAGCCAACATCACCTGATGACATACTAGGTCATGCTGCTATAGCCCAGGCAAGTTATACAAAAACCTAGGGGGTCAAAATAAGAATATACTGTAAAATACTTTATTTATGCTTGGAACTAATTTTCGCTATTTTCACTCTGAACGAATGTTTTACATTCAACTACTCAAAAATCAGTGAAAATAAATTCCATATGAAACACCAAAAATTTAATTTCAGCTAATATAAAGTATTTACAGTAGTCTTAACAGCTTAAGGAGCCAGAGGTGTACCTTAGCCAAGGCATATTATACATTATATTATACCAGTGTATCACTGCCATCAATACATCATTGTGATTGGTTGGGAGACTGTTTTAATTTATGCAAGCCATGGTTAAATAGAGCATAATGCACAGTTATGGTGTTCCACTAAGGCCCCAGAATATGAATACAAGTTCAATTCGTAAACAAATAAAGGGAAGGGCATTTAAATATTAGGGAAATTTTGGGGTAATATTGATAGCATGAAGATATTACATACATATTTTATTTTGGCAGTGGTTAAATAAAAAAATTGTACAACCTACAATTTTTGCAGGCTATTCTTTGTGACATGTTTTCGTTGTCTGCAACATAGACATGGCAGAGTATCATGTTCGGGAGCTGTCAGAGCAAGATTTTCTTGCAGAAACCGGAGAATTCGTCCAGACGGAGAGAAAGAAATGCTTTGCCAATTTTAATGAAATTTACCTTGACGATTTCGAAACACAGGCTAAAATGTATGCTACCGGCGGCGAAAATTGTCTCGTTGCAGCATTTCAAAATGTATTTGTCCAAATTGCAAAATCGTTGTTTCAGGGGCCCCGTGTAA